AGCTTTCACTAGCACGCTCTGTTATTTCGCCTCTCGGATTCCAACGAAGAATAAGTATAATTTTTATATGTTTTGTGTTGAAGTTTCTGTAGAAGCCTGACTGATTTTCCGGTGTATGGTGGCTAGATCCACACCCAATCCTCCCTCTTCACCTGGGCTTGGGACTGGCGTGAAAACTAGTGAGCCTGTATTTAGGAGAGGTTTAACGAGTCGAACGTAAAAAATAACTGACGCTTAATCCATTGACTCAATGAATAATAGAGGCTCAATAATTCACGAAGATTAATTCGCCAAGCGTTCACTTTAAAAATAAGTGGTCGATCAAATGATCTTGAAGGCAAAATGACGAACTGGCAATGGACCATCAAGATTCGCTTAAACTGTGACAATAGTACGTCAGTCAAATCGGCGACTAGATAAGCTCTAAAGTGCATATTAGGACTGGAGGCGAATGCTGGCAGGTCACTTTCGCTTTATTGGATCAATCTTAGACAAAATTTCGACATCCACCCATAATGCCATAAACCAACGGATTGGATGGATTCATCTATGAAAGCTTGGGCTATGCATAGACAAAATAAACACAGAAAAGGCCTGCAGAATCCCAGTTTGTTTTTCTAATGGAAATAGTGACTGCCGCAAATTATACTTGCGAATGAATGAACACAATAATCGTTAGAGAAAAACAAGAGAACATGATCTCACTGTGAAAATTAGCTGGCAACCTCTCACATCTAAGCAGGGCGATTATACAGCATATACCTTTTTAAAGTGGCGTCATCTGCTTTATCTAATGGGAATTGCCAGGTTTCAGTGAACAGGCCAAATATGCTGACACGATTTCATGAAAATCTAAATTTAAATTTCGAATTTGCCGCATGCTTTCTCCCGTTTCATTGCACAGATGTTGGTTTCAAATGACATGGTGCGTCGGTGGCGCAGCGGTTAGGACTCTCGTCGACCATGCATATGGTCCGGGGTTCGATCCCATGGTGGCGCTTACCTGATATCAGTGGTCGGCCTGCAAAATTTGGGTTACCTATATCACATGCTGAAAATCCCATACTTGCACCATAAATACTGTTTGGTTTCAAGCTACAATCAAAATTCAAAAAAATGCAAAATTCAAAATTCGTAATGAAGGCGCAGCAACTGCAACGCGTTTGAAGAATATAATGCTACTGATTGTATATACGAAGAAAATGCTTTTGGTTCAAAGTTTCACCAAAAATGCATCCAAAAAAATATAACTTGTCATTAAGCCACCACAGCAGTACGCTATGGCGCTATAATTAGCAGGGATATGCAATATGTCCACGTAAAGTTTACTGTTAGAAGCTACGATGTACTACAGTAATGTAGGGGAAGTTAGAAACAGTAGAGTCAATCGTTTTTCAAGCAACTGAATAACACCCAGAGATCTGAGATCCTGTCAACCCACCAATTCTCCATAAATCTTTGTAGGTTCTTAAAAATATATAAGGAACATCGAGACTCTCTGGGTGAACGCTAAACGAATGTTCAGTGATCCTGCCTAACTGAACTAGTTTCATTTCAGGAAATGGTTATGTCGAAGACGGCTGACAGGTTAATAGGGAAAATTATATAAACATGTGTTATGTGGTTGTTCTTTCTGATGTCCTTTGAATGAATGACGCGAATAAATTGAAAATGCGTATATCGATTGATTTTCGTGTATAACAAGTACCTGTACGAAAAAATACGGTGTGGAATCAAGCTAAAATCAAAAATACAAAAAAACTTATTTTTCTTCTTTGATTTTTGTGAATTCATACAGATTTTATGTACATGGACACACTTTTATATGTTGTGTGCACACACTGTATACATAAACCCTTTGACGCTAATTATACTACATATCCCAGCGTTTCATTAAATATAAACAACAAAAATGCTCAAAATATGCTCGTTCGCCTTCCAAGTTTATTCCGCCGGATAAAAGTCATTTTTTCCATGTGCTGTGCAGGTTTCCAGGAAGCCTGTTGGTTACGCTGCCTGAAGAACCCCAAGTTCGTTTCGGATTGGCCTCAGCTAGAAGTAACTCTCGCAATTGCTGTGTGTCCATTTATCCTGTCAGATCTGTGCTCTAGTCACACGAGCCTGATGACTATTTGTCCTGGCCCACCCAACATGGTGATCAGAATGTTCTTAACACTGCCCCAACTAGCGAAGAGATAATGTAACACGGCTGCTGGAAAGAGTAGTCATCGGAGGTGGTAGGACCGGATCATACTGATACGCAATCACATCAAAGTACCACCGCTAAGTTCTTGTCCGTTGAAAATCATACTGATCACAACGTGTTTCAGTCTCTGGATAAACAAACTGATCAATGGCGATTGAATTGGTGGGATTCAGTTGACTTGATGAACGTTTTCGATCCCCAACAGGGTATATCGGAAATGTACTGGTCAGGTGACAAATACCATAACCTATGATTCGAAAGTTTCAAGCATGAATAAGTGCATGTTGTAGAGGTTTCAATGATTTACCAAGCAGTGAACGTTTTAATATCGAAATATCTTCCTGGAATTTGTGAGACAATCTAGAAAAGCATTTGGAAAGTGATAAACCACTCTGTCGGTCCACAGTCTTAAAAAATATGTATTAATAAAACTCCAAAAATATTATGCAATCATCATCAGACTTTTGGACACACTCACCACCTTTAATTACACTCTCACCTTCCACGAAGCCACAGCGTCGTTTTAGCTATGGGTGAACGTCTCAATCGTGAATTTAATGTTTACTGGAAAACGCAACAACATGATCAGATATTGACACATTATATCAACATTCATTTGTAGAACTTCGGTGTATTTCCTCATTAAAATTTTTAGTGATAATCCGAGCCAATTTCTGTACATAAATTCATCCAGGCGTCTGTAAATTACCATGTTTCCTGACCTACTTACTGCTATAACACTCTTTTTCAGGTGACTGAAGACTTTCTGTGGAATTTTTGTGTGTCCAATAGAAGAGAGAGATATACATCCGCATTGGTGTGTATAGCTGTTCCTGGTAGCACTAGACGTTGGACAATATGTAGTAATAGATTAGGGCTGCTGTTAGATATCGTCTCCGTGTAACATTTCTGCAATGCTTTGCCTCTAAACACATTCTTCATTGGTACTCAATATACCTCGATTATGTCTTGCTTTTATAAGCAGAGTTTCGTTCATATGAACAATGGCACACATGAATAAGTACCTGAGTCATGTTATTCATCTCCCAAAAAGTTATATTTCTACAGTGCTGACACCAGTGTACTGCAGACACCTGTGAATTTTCTGTTTCGAACTCTGTTTTCGTTACTGGTCTCTTGAAGACCCATATCATGTTAATTTTCGTAGAAGGCAACTGAAATTTGTCGAAGAAAGTACCTATTGTATCCGTAATCTTTGAAAAGGAGCAACTAACTTTCTCCAACACACATTCTGCAACGACAGGCAGAAGGTAAGGGTTAATGGTGTACTGTCAGGGTGGAAAGCAGTACTAAGTGGAGCACCTCAGAGAACTGTACTTGGCCCCCTGCTACTCTTATTTTACATAAATAATGTGCCGAAAATTCTTACCTCATCTTCCTTATTATTTGCGGACGATATTAAGATATGGAAAACCGTAAATAGTAGCCATGACAGTTTGGTACTACAAAACGATCTAGACAAATTAGCAGAATGGGCTAACCTTTGGAGTCTCGAAATTGATTCCAAGAAAAGCGCGGTAATACACCTAGGTCAGAAGTCGTACACGTCATACTCCATGGGGGACACAGAACTGCCAGATGTTAGGGAACAAAAGGACTTAGGGGTTATTGTTAGCCATGACTTAAAAACAACGGCAAACTGTAATCGAGCCGCAGCTAAGGCTTTTCGAATGCTAAGGTCACTTCGAAGGGCTTTCAAACGATTAGATGAGGGTATGTTCCAAGTACTCTATGCAACATATGTCAGACCTCATCTAGAGTACTACATACAAGCGACGAAACCATGGTTAAAAGGAGGCACATATCCTGCAAAGAGTACAGAGGGTAGGAACGAAATTAGTTAGTGGTATCTCAAACCTTCCTTATGATAAGAGGATTGAGCACTTAAATCTCTTCCTATTATCATGCCGAAGGAGGAGAGGCGACTTCATTTTGGCTTATCGTATATCCAAGGGTGATTTTAGGATTGACCTTTCAAACCTTTTCTCTCCCTCTAGGATACATTGACGAGGTCACCAGAAGAAGGTGCTAAAACCGAGGTCGAATAAAATACGTTTGGAGTTTAGATTCTCTCACATAGTGGTCAACGACTGGAACTCATTACCTGATTCAGTAGTAACAGCTCCATCGGTGAACGCCTTCAGAGAGAAACTGGGTCTCTGCAGAGATATATATCGGGAGGATTAACATAGGCAACAAGAGCCTTCTATCCTTATAATCTGAATCTGACAGTCGAGGAATCTGTACACATACCTATCAACAGCGACTGGATATGTATGTAAATACAATACTTCTCCCTGTCGCCATGTTTTATTCCTTCAAGTGTGACCACTGTACATGTAGTTCTAAAATACTAGATCTGGGTGAGATCTGCAACTCCATCAGTCTACCTCATTTGTAGTTACGTTTATTTGCCATGGGTTACTATAGATTAGAGTAACATACCAATCTTCTGGAAAGTTCTACTTTTGCACTCAATCTCCATTAACTACTTTTGTTATTACCTCCATTTCCAACCATTACAGAAGACTATTGGGTGAAAGTACCAACTACGTCCACAATAGAAACACCACCTTTACATACCGCATACTGTAAACAACTTCTAACAAATCCCTGCATTACTTACCGTGTAATCAACAAAAACTACGGTAGTCGAGTGGCAAAACACACTACACAGAAGTTTACTGAGAGTTGAGAGTCTTCATCGTACTTCGTTCTTCAAGCAGGCACAAAGAAATCAGTTCGTCTTATACTTGATCGTAAAAACGATATTGGATAGTGTATCAGAGGAGGGGTTTTCGAAGGTGTTGCTTTGTCAAGGTCACTGAACTGTTGGCATAAGTCTCCGTGATGTCAGAACATTTCTCAAGCAAATCTCAGTCCACCTCACCAAGACCTCCAGGAAGTGTGAAAAGAGGACCTGTTGAGGCAAGCATTCTTGATTACGTGTTGTCTGTGCATGCACCAAGCTGCAAGAATCGCGCTTCGCTGATAGCGTTATTAATTCATTCAGAGCTCTTGTCACGTGGTGCAAGACCTACAGAAGCCAACATGTCTTCAGCAGTTCTTAGTTCGTCGTGTTTAGAAGAAGATCCTGTTAGAATTTCTTATACGTTAATATCCCGTCCGAAATCAGATGCGTTATCTACTCCATGTGGCCAAGTAAGCACACTTCATTAAATGCTTTGCTTATTTCCTACTTTTTAATGTGCGAGCGTAATGCGTTGCATATGGCACTATCCATCATTATTATCATTTCATTCACTGCGGAAACTGTTAGTTTTACATAAAGTGACTGTCAGCTTGTTATTTTCCTGAGTCTGTATTTGTGGTACCGTGCAAAATCCTTCTGTTCCCATTTTATTTAATTTCTGACAGCTCCAAGTCTCTGTGACGGAAACGGATATGCACGTCTTCGTTAACATAACAGATACAACCACAGATAAATTCGGACATTTAGAGCTCTCAGGAATTGAGCACGTCTGTCTTGATTGTGTAAATAATTCCTCATACAAAGACGCCAATGCAGTTTTTCCTCAACTCAACGAACTATTGGAAAGCATCGAAGAAAATTTATGGAAACCAGTTCTCCCATCTCCTCCTCTTTGTCGTTCAAATGAAACCGATAGCCGAAGAGACAAAAAAGAACCTCGTCCAAACAATGAGGATTTCCATTCTCAAGTGAGTCCTCAGTTGATCCCTTTTTCTCCACCTTCATCAAAATGCGGTGGAAAATAGGTACAAAATTTCACTTACTAACCGTACATTAAATATTTTTGTTTCTATTTATAAGGTTGAGGTTTCGTTCCTCCTGTTGTTGGTTGTGTTCACAAAAAATTAAGTGATTGATATTTTCGACATGCACAGAAGGTAGTTTTCGTGTGCCACGAGTTGTTTCATCGTGTAAATATTGTGTCTTGGTTTCCTTTTAGCCGTAGTTTTTAAATAATTCATAGAACACTATTTTTCAAGACTGAAACCTCTTTTCTGAATATGTCAAAAAATTGAATTTTGTCACACATCTGCAAGTTTTGTGTGTTTTAAAAGGATGAATAGTACTGCATTGCTACTGAAATCTCAGTAACTTTGATATTCGTAGACCACTACTTAAAATTTTGGCGTAATGGATCTCTGATTTACAGTTATGTGTTGATAAAAACCAGTTTTGAATGAATGTTTAGAAATCTTTTCAAATACTGTAGTCCGAAAAACTAATTTTTCGTTGTTAGCTATTGTAATTGTCGGTCTGAAAACTCATTTACCTGGCATAGGTCACGGTGTATTAAGATCAATAGGCATATAATATTTTATGTGAACTGTCGAAGTATTTTTTTGTATGCGTGTCAGGAAAAGATCAATGTAAATAACTAAAGCAGAAATATACCTAACAGTCTACTATAGTTCGTCAGTTTGTTCATGTGATTTTCTAAGTTTCAGATTTAGCATATGCATATTGTTGCTAACCTTAAATGTAGTTAGTCCCGTATTCATGTTTTCTATTTTGATCGTTCATTTCACATATCTCTCCATTATATTTTCAGTAAAAATTCAGTGTAGTTATAGAAGTGGCAAATAATATGGCATTGATGTTATTTCTTCACAAAACCTTATATTTAGATTAGATTGTTGAAAACAGTCATATACATGCACCTCCGTAGTATTTCTAATTAATAAGCTGCATGCAGTTTCAAATCTCCAAATAACGTGCTAGCAATTGATAGTCAATATGTTTTTTCCAGTTATTAATCGAAGTCACCACTCTGTTAGTATTAGTCGTCTTGTGCCATAATGCAGCTTAATTTTGTCAACTGGGATACCAACCAAACTTATTATCATAGAGGTATTTTTATTGCATCTTACTACGGATTTAACCAGATGAAATGGATTACATTCCATAACATTTTGTTGCAGCTGGTAATCACCGCTTATACTACCTAGGTGGGAGAAAATCTTGCCAGACTGCATGTTCTTTACTTTGGTGGATATTTCTTAGTAGGTCACTGTACAATGGTGGATGAATCCAACCTCACTAATTGTATTACGGACTTCTCACACGAAGTTTATGTTCATAAAAACTGTACAATACGGATCCTGCATTCCTGCTAAAGTGAAACGGTGGGACACCTAAATGGAGATGACAACTACTCATCGCCGTCTAATGTCGGATGAAATAAACTCCCTCATGATGCAGATTACTGCTAAATTATAATGTTCCTGACATAAATCATTGTATTAGTAAAATCCATATATTCACATTTTTTGCTTAATTCAGTAGGTGGTGTTTTTGTTTTGCTTTTTACTTTACGTAGAAAGCTGTTGGTTGAGCTTAAGCTGATGAATATCTTCTTTTAAATAAATTTTTTCAAATAAACATTTAACATTTGGTGAATATACCTTATTCTTCCTTTGTGCTACTACTATGATTTATGCTTTCTTGAAATGTTAATATTCAACTCATGGTTAAGTGATATTCACACTTGCAGTTAGTAATGCATGAATGTCATTGGACTCACATCAATATTTTGTGGAATCAGTAATGTAAACTACGTATTAACCCTGTGAAGTAAGATTGCATAAATTTTTCGAACATCATATTGAAAAGTCCTGACAGTCTATGTAACTAATGAGTTCAATTTGAATAAAGGTACCAACTACTATCCTAAAGGCATTGAAGCAATGTTGTTCATCATTTGAGAATATCTAAAAATCCATCAAAGAATTTATTTCAGAAAATTCACAACATCTGTGGCCTGGATAATTTATAAAAAACTTATTTTGTTGCTTTGATTGTTGGTGACTAATAGTAAAATCGAAGATCCGAATTTAGTTCTATATGGGACTAGTCATCTAAATGTGCCTGCATCCTCAATGAGCGATGGTGTTTTCCCACTGGGACTCGAATCCTGCACGGATCGTTCTAAACGCCAAAGCGTTATTCCAGTGTGTCACGAGAGGCATCTATTGGATGATAAGAAGCTTATTTTGATCAAGTGTAGTAACTTGAACTGCTGTACTTCTGTGCAAAGTTCTATGTCAAAACTCAGTCAGTTGATATTTTAATTTTTCATATTTCAAGTGTTTGCTTTCCGTGGTCGTTGTTTTTAGCAAAGTTCAGCACTATTCTGGTAAGTAGAAATCAATCAGCTGAGTTGCTACCATTTTTTTCCTTTTGCAAAATTAAATACTGATTGATGCATAATTGTTTGAGTGACACGACTTTCATATGAATTGTGCTGCTCCCACTAACTGCATTTGTCTCTTTCCCCAATTTCATTTCGTGTTCATTCGTAAAGCAGACACGTATTCTCTTGGTGGTCATCATACAAAATACTTTGTTTCGGTAGTTATCAACAATGGCCATTTTTATCTATTATTAATTACTAAGGGCTCTCGCTTACTTTTTCATTACGTACTTTAAGTAATTCAATAAAGTCGGCGAGTAATGCACATTGATTCATAAGGAAATGATGCGATTGGTTTGAGGAAAGAACAATTCATTTGTTGTCATTGTATATATGCTTTCAGCTTTTGGTTTGACAACAAGTTTTCCTTCATGATCATGTAGTACATCATAGTTGTCCCTTTCCAGATAAGACTTTGTAAGGTAGATAATTACTTATGCAATCTTCGGTATTGCCGTTTGTTGCATGCCCATCTTAACCATATAAGTGTATTGTCTAGTAAATATTAATTGATAAACTAATATTACCTTTTTCTTTTTTCTATGTAGCCACAAAGACCGTTTCCTGGCAGTTATTCTGAGACAAGACCGTCAGCTGGCAATCCTTTCGCAGATTATGGCAGAAGTGATCTGGATCCTTTATCCAGCATTGGAGGCCCATCAGGTGGTGGTGGGATGATTCTCGATCCAAGACGTATGATACCAGACGGTCGAATTGGCGGTGGGTCATTTTTTGGTGGGCCTGATGTTTTACCGCCTGGAGCAGTTCCTCCAGGTGCTAGATTTGATCCCTTCGGACCTGGTGTAGTACCTTCTAGGCCACATCTAGGTGGTGGGCGCCACCGTATGCCAGATCCTGATCATGCTCTACCACCTGGATTCGATGATGCCTACATATAGGCTTTAAATAAAACACTTTCACTTAACTTTATTTCTTCAATCTGATTCAAACGTCTTGAAAATGATTTCATTTTGTCCTTTCTGTATAATTTTATTTTACAATTGTCAGAATGTATATTCCATTCTATACCAATTACCAGAAATCTATTGAAACTTTTCAGTTGATTTGTTTGTTTTTCTTAATAAGACAATATATATTTGGTTTCTCTTGGCAAGAAGGTTAGTTGTGTAGGTCGTTATTTCAGTCTTTTAGCAATACTTATCTTTAACCGACAACATCATCTTAGACACTGCAAAAACATTCATGTGTAATTTACTCTACAGTTGGATTGCAACTGATAAGGTAAGTATATACTTTTGATTGGACACTAACTAATGTCATGTGTCTAGTCCATTGCTGAGCGCAGACTGAATTCTATCAGTTAACTTTGAAATGTGGCCACCATGCAAGGTGACTCTCCATCACGGTACAGTCAGTACTGTCGTTATTAGAGGGTTGAAAGCAATCGGCAGGAAGCCTTGGAGTTGGGTTTCATGCTTGTTAGCACTCATCAGCAAGGCGTATCTGCAATTTTGAAGGAACTCATGTCCCTTCTAAGATTCGAAACCGTGTTACTCAGTGCCACAGTCACGTGACACTAGTTAGTGTCCAATCAAAAGAATCTAATAGTCTTACAGGAGGTCAGTTGTGAGTCCGGATAGCTCAGTGGTCACGTCTCTGACTGCAGCGCTGGGTGATGTGAGTTCGAATCTCAGAGGGAATACCAGTTCCTTCAAGACTGCAGATACGCCTTGCCGACTGGTGAATATCACCTAGCACGAAACCTAGGTCAGGCAAGGCTTCCTGCCGATTGCCTCCAACCAACTAATAGTAATAATAATTTACTTTATTCCAAAAATAGTACTTATAATACAGAATGGAATTCTGAGTATTTGTCACAATATTGCATCTGATTTACTCAAAATATGTATAAAATAAAGAATTAAAACAAAATTAATCGGAGGAATTTGTCTACATTTACGACATAATTATTAGACATAATAATAATAATAATAGCAGTGAGTTTGTTTCAAACGGTATTGTCAATTCAGTTTGGAAACCTTAGCATGTTATAGATAATTGGGTCTAATGTTCTGTTGATATGGTATAGTGAGGGGAAATACAAAGTTAGCAGTCATAACAGAGCTTATAATTATGTCCACACTTATGAAAAAAAAATTAATAAATAAACAAAACGAAAAAAATTGAGGGGATTATAAATATAAGGAATACAATAACAATAAAGTATGATGTTTTAAGGGTGAAGGAAATGGTTTATTTAGTGGTGCTAAGAAGGTTAGTTAGTTCATTTCTGATGCTATTTTCTGACGCAAGTATTTTCAACTGGAGTTTGAGTACAGTGGTATTATTATTTTATTCCTTTATTTTCTAAATGAAACATGACTTTATATATATATATAAAACAAAATCACAGTCAAATAAAACCATAAAGCGCAGATTAGAATAATCAAGCGTTCATGATATAACGACAAACAAAAAGCTTGTTGCCTTCATATTACTCGGTAAACGTTTAATCCAACTGTTTTGAATCTATTATCTCAGGATTTTTCAATACTTCTCGGATCATGGCTGAGAAAGATGCTCATATGAATCTAAAAAAAGAAAAGAGTCTCTTCTAGTCTAATTCATTCACTTAGCTATACACTCGTAATTATATCTGAATTTTTGGTGTACATGTATAATGTTTTGATTTGTTAAAAGGCAGGTAGTAAACTATCTTCGCATAAAAAGAAAAATTCAAAATTTCTTACATTTCGTCCCCTTGATAAATTTCGATAGAGAAAGAAAGACCAGATTTGCAGTATAAAACGATATTATTCTATTTCACAGGTTCTCATCAGCTAACTGCAAACTACCTGCAATTACAATGGCTATAAATAATAACATTTCATACCAAGAGAGTGAGATATTGACTACATTCTCTTTCTGTGTGTGTAAGTTTGATTTGAAACGCTTGATTGCAATCGCTTCAGCAAATCGTAGTAATTTCGCTGTCTTTTTTAGGTTTAATATTTTAAAGGATTTGGAAATCTCGACAAAATCACTCGTATCCACAAGGTGTCTGGTAATTGCACTTTGTAAATATCTGCTTCTTTTTAAGCATAAGTTTCTCGGAATATGCTCTAAAAACCGGATAGCTGCTGGATTCAACATAGAACTTGGCACCGAAGTGCAGCAGTTCGAGTTGCCACATTCCAAATAGCACACAAAGGTAGACAGGAAAATGAGAGGAGAGAATCAATAGAATTTAGATAAGTATAAGAGTGAAACAGAATGAGTAATGGTAGAAAGGAATATGAAGGTTAAAGAGACTGAATACATCTGCGCCATTGACAACGATTTTGAGCCATGTCACCTATTGTCTCCAGCCATTGATTCTTAGAGTCCCGAGGGCCCCAACCCGGAAGTCTGCATCTCCCTACCTGACTCAGTTTAACTGTCAGGGATTGATGCCATGTTTTTGTTTGGCCACCACTTACTCTTTTCCAACCTGCACCTATATCAGCTAGTAATGCCCGTCGGGGGAGACGATGGTTAGGCATGCGCAGCACGTGACCTAGCCATCTCAATCTATGTAACTGTATAGCCTCGTCGATTGATTTTCCCTCTTTGCCCAACACTCTACGCCTAACGTCAACATTACTTACTTTATTATGCCACCTAACGCGAGAAAGAGATCGTAAACATCTATGATCAACCTTTTCATGTCTTCCACTCGTAATGGCCATGTTTCAGAGCCATAGAGAAGGACGGAGCGAACTGCTGAGCAGTACACACGTCCCTTGGTTGATAGCCGGATGTCACGCATACGCCAGAGACGGTTAGCGAAAGCAGCTCGAGATTTTTGGATCCGTGCTGAGATTTCGTCACCAATCAGTCCGTTGGTGCTGATACAACTTCCCAAATAGGTGAAGTGGTCAACATGTTCTATCACTTCACTCCCTATCACTAAGCTAGGAGTTGACGTAGTCCAGTCCTGTAGCAGCATCTTACACTTTACAGGGGCGAATCGCATGCCAAACATACGAAGATTGCTGCTCAAGGTGTTCAGAAGACTGCATTTTGTCAGCATCCTCGCCTAACAGGACTATGTCGTCTGCATATCCTAAGTCCATAAGACTATTCCCTGGTAACAAGTCGATTCCTAAGTCGTTAAGTTCAGTTAAGGATACTTCCATTAGCATATCTATGATGAAGTTAAACAGAAAAGGGGAAAGTGGACATCCTTGACGGACACCACTGGTTGTTATCAATTCAGATGACAATTCCGCAGGTACACGTAAATTTATAAGTGCAGTTGGAGGTAACATCAGCAGGGTACTTATCCAGTTTCGATTGGCTTATAGAGCATGCAGTGCTGTATAGCGTCGCCAGCATTTTTTTATTGCTCCTTTCATCCTCTTGTCAATCTTCGGTGATACTACTTTCCCTTTGAATGGGAGGCAAATGAACGCCTTCTTTTCAACTGTTGGATACTTCGCTTTCTCATCCTTTTCTTGGCTGTACTTAAGGATAAATCCCTTTGGATACCCGTTTTCCTTAAGGCATTTCTCACTGTCCTGGTAACCGTATTACTTTGATTACACTGATTAGTCATAAACACTAGTGAGCTCAGTTTACTGAGCAAGTTTTCAATTTGATGAACTTTAGTCTTCTTGAGTTGCTATGTAGACGTACAAGCTAGCACTGTTTATTAGATTTTCTGTCTTCTTTCACCCCACCCGTTTTTTTCATAGTTTGAAAGTGTATAAATCGATGGTGACTTGAACTAAAAATTGTAATGCTTATCATCTTATAATGTTTTTTCTATTACCTGTCAAACATTGAAGTATGAAATGTTATTGTTTATAACCATGACAAGACTTCTGTCAAGTCACTGAAGTCTGGAACATTCCTTATCGTACGCTACAAGTTTATTTTGTCATGCATATTAAATATTGACTGTCGGCAGTTTCAACTATTGAACACGATTTCTTTTAAAGATTTTATTTAGGCATTGGGCATCATTTCACAGAGAATTAGTTGATTGTTATACTGAACTGTGTAAATTATATCGAGGTTAAAATGCATCAAGTCCTACTCTGTAAAGACATAATGTGATACTTGCAATCTATAGATTATGATAAATACTATACTTAACAGAACCATTGCTATTTGCGGTCTGTTTATATTTCTGCACTACACTTGTAAAAGATGCGTATAACAATAGCAAGTAAAAGTCGTGTTCATTCATAACGTGACTTTATCTATAAAATAGCTCCTGTCAGCGGCTATGTTGATCATTAAACTCAAGTCTTTAAAAAATACTGTAATTATTCATCTGTCAGTATGTACATAACAGTGTGGTATTTACAATCCCTACTTACAATAAACTGGACAGATTTATGGAGTACTGTTCACATTCGTTTACTGTGAAATATTTGAATTATAATTAGAAGGATCATAGTGCTTTGGTGGCACAGCGGTAGAATGCTCGCCAACCACGTAAGTGGTTCGATCCCCGGCCGACGGACTCCTTTACCTCGCTAAGCCAGTAATAAGACTGGTGAAGAGGAAAGATTGGGCATGTGGCTAGAAACCCCATCCCTTAAAAATAAATACCACTACTACCGAAACTTCAAGCCTGTCGCTTGAAGCCCTATGTTCCATTGGGAACGTAAAGCAACAAAAAATAGTCAGAAATGGAAGTCACCTTCATTAGTTTTACCGTGATTACATTCATTAAAATATTAATGTCTTTGACAGCATAATCTAATAAATTACATAATCTCTAGCTAAATACACCTTATATTTAAGCTATCGATTAGCCTTAACTCGGAATACTTTTCATTCTAAGAAAAAAACTTTTGTAACTTCAAACCCTATAGCATAAATCAATACTTCGACAATTTCTTTATGTACTTTTATTTTTTTTAAATTAAACGGTGAATTCTGATTACAGAAAATGTATCAGTTATTACTTTTACCTATGCATTAAAATGTACTGGTTGAAATGTTGCTTTTTTCATTTCCCGTTTGAGTTGTATTCAGATGCCAGAATAATGTTATAATTATTTTTCCCTTTGTTCCGAGTGGAATATGGGTTTCCATCATCACATCTCGATTTCAGTCTGTCCACTGTAATCTTTTTAGTAGGTTCAAAGATCGCTTTTAAGCTTTCACTTCCTGATCACACTATCTCTTCCATTTCATTATCGGACGCTAAACTTGTCGTTTCCCATTGGGATTGAAGTCGGAGACCGGACGCTTGATGTTACTGAACGATCTCGCTAGCGTACGTCCATTCCATCGCCACCTCTGCATATTTGTTCTCTGATAGATTCTTCGTTGCTAGAGTCCCTTGTTACTTATCATTTCCGGTCGGCCATCTGATGTTCTCTATGGATTAGGTAAACGCAGCTGTTGATAAAGATCTGAAGCAGCCTCTTAGAGATACCGTCTGTGACGCGTGCACCAAGTCTCAGAACCATTTAAAATCACTGATTCTACATTCGTGTTGAAAATTCCGAACCTGTTCATTATGCCGGATGCCGATGATCTCCACACAGACTTCAGAATAATGAACACCTATCTTTCTTTCCTCCATTCCATCCTCAGTCATACTTTTAACCAGGAAATTGAAAGAGATGGTCCCCCCCCCTTCCCTTAACAGAGTTCGGTGCTTGTTGTTGGTTAGGTACCTTTATTACCTCTCTCTTCTTTATGTTCAACTGAGGTCCTGCCTCCTCTGTTATTTCTGAAAACGTGTTCCCTTACGCCTGCAGATCTTCAAGTTTGTGACATCAGACATAAATCATCCCATAAGTTCAGATTTTCTACAGTCTTATTGTTAGTCCAAAGGATGGTCTTCATTATCTGTTGGGTGATGCAGTACAGCACAATCAGGAATATCATCGGTGATAATAGGCAGACTTGAAAACACATGGTCTGTGTGTGCACTTTGTTTACCAACATGTAAAATTATTTTTACAACGCCATGTTGCGCTAGACTTTACGTATGCTTTACTTTTTTTAGTTATATGGAGGTTGTTGAATATTAAGTCAGTGAAAATGTCAATCGATCAAACTTACGCTAACACCTTCATCAGAATCTTCTGCTGTAATTTAATGGAACTTTTGATATACTCTCAATTCCTACTTTTTTTGCACTTCCTCAATGCTTTATTGTGGTCTCTTGTAATATGTGAAGCTGGATTAATGCATATTAAGCTCAGTTGGTGGAATAAAGACTTACTGTAATATTATAAGACTGTTACTTTAGTCGTTCGAGGATTTCGCATCCGCTTCTCTGCAACATCACACTGTGAAAACTAAGTAGGATTTATCAAGTTAAAAGGATAGTGAAGTGTTGTTTGATACCCTTAAGCCATCCTACTTAGCCTGTTTACTGCTAAACGCCAAGTCTGTAGTGCAAATAAATGTAGTAGTAGTTATAACTTAGGGTTGATAGCTACTTCATTAATCTGTTAATATAAAGTGACATCATCAAACAGACTGTTTCCTCGGTAATGAGCTAAGAAACAAATGCTTACTTATTTCAAACATGCCATCAAACCACCTACTGCTAATTAATATTCATCACCGTTATGATCAACAACTGCAGCATCTGCATCTCCGCTGTATGGAAATTAAATTACCTACGGTCTTATCCACCTAATAAGGAGAAACAAAATTTAATTGGGCCACTTTATTCTGCTCGATGTGTTTTTGCTTTATTCACGGAAGTAGCAACTCATCACAGAGTATCAGTCTTAAATATACACCATATGTAAGCGTGATGAATATTAATTAGATATGCTACAGAGATGATTTACTCATAACCACACAATGAACCTGAAAATAATTATAATAGTTCTCACTGAAGATGACGGCAAGTGAACATGGAACTCTAAGTGTGTACAGCTACGCCGAATATAATCTAGAATTCGTCTACCTGATAAAGTACTCAAGAACTAGAATCTAACCAGTTATAAGTTTAGACATTAACAAATTACGCTGTTAGTCTTAAAACGGACTATCTAAAACTACGTAGCTACTTTAAGATTGTGTGCGCTGAAGGTAACCACAGACATATAAAGGTTGAATATCGCGTCTGCGTGAAACAGTTACTATACCTATCTAATCGTATACTTTTAAGCGAAACCGATGAAATCAAAACTAAACTTAAACTATAAGCGACAGAAAGTACCAACGGAAAAATGACCAAAGACCCACGAACCACATGATAAAGACAATTTTCGCGAGTGAAACAAATATTCATTTTATTATAGCTTGATTCCTCACACTATTTCGGCACAAGTATGGAATTTTTAGCATATGATATCGGTAGGCTGAATTTAGCAAGGCGACCATTGATATCAGATGTGCGTCAGCCACGGATCGAACCCCGCAGCATGTGCATAGTCGGCGAGCGTCCTAAATAAAAGGCATGCGAATGTCACACGGGATACCTTTTTCCAACGTGACAAATACCCCTCAGTTTTGGATTGGAGAATCAACAGAGCAATTTAACTACATTATATGCATGTAATTATCTAGATCTTCTAACCCTAATCTTCCCTTGACCTTACCCTGACGTGAAAATATCCTTCATCTGACCATAATCTAACTCGAAACAACCTTTATATCGCTCCTATTAAGTCGACCTACACCTAACTTCTCCTTAGCCTGCACCTTAACCTAATCTTCCGCAAACTTGAGCTGAAATATGCCAGATGCCGCATTTAATAACACAAGACTTCACTAGACATGATTTATTTGCGATTACAATATTATTTACCAGGTTTTATTAGCTTGCTTATTTGGCGTTTTCAAGGTCATCGGTGCAGTCACACTCTGCTGGTACTCACTAGTGCTTAGAGTTTAACTTGGTCATACGAAGTATGTGGTGGCCCTAAAGAGGGCCATTTCGCGTTCTTAACGAGGCTTCATCTGTTCATCTTTAGTTCCTTCAATTGGTTAAATGTAGACAATAAAAAGGCAGTTGCCTCTTTTACATAACCTGCACTGACGTATCTGTCGAGGGATTTACAAAACTTTCGCTTCAACTTTTGGTAGTTTTCGATGTCATCGTTTTGTGTAACGGGCGTGCAGCGGTTGTCATGGGTAGCGGGTTTCTGGTAGCTAACATCCATTGCCGACAATTCTTCAGGCTCGGATGAAACAGACACCACTGGCTTAACTCTATACAATTTTGGCTCATTTAATTTGTGGGCTCTGGTATACTTTTTTACATACTCAGAATTGCAAAGGTGATTATGAACCATAAATGCAGATGCAATGATAAATTTATTAGATTGATATCGGAAGCGTACCATCGATTCGCAACCGATGTATTTAGACCTAGTCCATTTAGCATTAACAAATATAGGTAACTTACTTCCTGCGACGAATGCGATTGCCTTCAGATTTCCTTTTGTATCCAAAAGTGCATACAAACACCACATAATCATACTTCACATGTGGATCATTCTTGTTTAATTTACATTCTCTAACAATATATTGGGTGTTTGTTAACTGATAATAGATACACTGATGGTAAACTCACCTTCTCGAAAAGTTTGAAAGCTTCTTCAACTTCAACCCATGTTTTAAATTCTTTGGGTCTGATATTTTCTTCGAAAATATTGCTAATATCATATCTGATAGCGATCCCTCCATTAAATTGACTCGCAGATTTTTGCATGCTATAAACAACGTGAGAGATAGTTTTTCCAAATTTCTACATATTAAGTAACCAACTGAGCCAGCAACAATAACGGAAACCAACAAATGAACGGCAAACAGCTTCTGTCACCAAAAGTGTTCATCTGCATAATTTCGAAACTTTCTGGGCAAAGTTAAACCATAGGATCCCAGGGGTGTTAACCCTCTAATGACCTAGAAAGCAAGATATCCACTGTTTCATGATACCTGTCCATATTATAGCAAGGAAATGGCCAGTGTTAAGCAACCAAGGAGCAAATTTCACCAGGATTACCTTTTTAAAGTACTATTTAGACTGTATTAATAGCTCGTTAGAGTTAGGACCAGAGTTATAATAACAATTACAGCAAGTATATATACGGACCCTAATATAAGCCTTATCCTAACCTTAATAATAAATTGAGGACAAGGCCTATAATTTGGATCATGAATAAGGTTGCAGTTAGTTCTGGGGTTGGTATTACTAGTCTTAATTAGTTTTATCAACGAAATTATTCTAGCGATTAATCTTCGATCCTCCTACTGGGAACCATAGTAATTCAGTAGAGAGCTTTTGGCAAAGACTGCAAAACATAATGGGAGCGATTAGCGGGACACACAAAAGAGCTTATCTCCAGTCATCTCGGTGAATACTCATACTGAAACTGGTACAACAGATGTAAACTGATATTCCATATTATAAGAAATACATTCAGGTCATTTAATAGAAAGCTATCCTGATTCATGCGTTTTCATGCATTTTCTTGTAAACAATCGTCATTTTTGTGCAAAAACCAATTATTTCCATGACTGGTCGTCCATTTGCATCCCTTGGAGCCCTATATTTCATCTTTGCCAAATCCTACACAGTATTGTTCTATTAACAGCCGAAAAAACAACTAAAACACCGCAACGAAGCATGGAGGTAACGTATGAAACAATTACAAAGAAATGACCTGGTGACAACAATTTCAGACACAAAGGAAATAACGAAGTTTAACAGCCCAGAAACCGAGAGGATGTGAAAATCAACATTAATGAGTAATCTACACCAAGATAACATGCAAATAACTGCAGGACAAACATAAAAGCCATAGCGCGAACGAACAGTTAGCTAACAGCAATCCAACATGGCCGACTAACATGGATGAAATGACCTGAAAGCGCCTTGTCCACCCGATGACCTTGAGATGCTGAACAATTCCAGCCGTCCACCACAAATAATTGGTGAGCCCGTTTGAACATTTTTACCTTTATAAACTGTATATTTACATTATCATTCTTATTTTTGACTGCATACTGTGTATATGTGTGTGTGTCTGTAAATCTATATACTGATCATGTCACCACCCATACATCGTGATGTGTCACCAGTTCAAGTTGTGTCTACTGACTACACACCTGCATTATCAGCTATTTCGACATTAGTAAACAGGATGGAAAAGTTGAAAGCTGAGATAACCAGCTTACGCACACGATGCGGCAGATCACAGTTCAGGTTAAGGCATTTCCACGGTCTTTCTCGAGACAGTGGACCAGGACATCTTCTAATACTCGGAGTATTTGTTGTTACAATAGAAAGTTTGGACATCGAGCTATTTGGTGTGTAAAATCGTGCAATTTCAGTAGTAGTGACTCGACTGAGAGGCATTACCCAGCCAGACAGTGATGGGCTGTCTTAGTAGCTGATGCTCATCATGCTATACTCAGTGCTGATTTATAAGTAGTTTCAACCTGTTGGTTGATGTCAACAAGCAAATGCTGACTGGCAACTGCACCCAGCTTCAAATACATGGAATCATCTGACACTACCCCGCCGATAATATTTGCATCGAAAAGCCTGACGATGCCACGTTTTCTGCATTATTGCAAAGCTTCCTCCAGGATTCTTAAGCTATTTTACAATATCGAAGATGTCCCTCACTCTGTCACGCATAAAATCGTCACAACTTTTCAACTCCTTCAAACAAGTCCTCGTCGATTACCACTCGACTTTTTTGACTCATTTTAAGTTTAATTTGTACACATGATGCCACCGGGCACAATCTGACCTTCCATCTCTCCTTTGCTGTTTCCCCTACATATTGCACTAAATGCCTAGCATGACTGCTGACCACACTGTGTTTACCAACACTTTAATAATGCCAATGTTCCATATCGTTACCCATCCTGCACTTGCATATATTCAATTAAATTCGGTTAAACCTTTTTCTCCGAAATGGATTTAGTCAGAGCTTATCACCAGATACATATTGCCCTAAAGAACACTGAGAAAACTGCCATTATAAAACGTTTTGTACCGCTTGAATTTCTGCAAATGCCGTTCATTGTGTTCCTACAAAGACAGGAATAAATATACTGTTATTTCATTAGCTTGGATTTTTATTTCAACATTTGTTCCGTTACTGAGTTCGCTATTAAGTCCCTTAAAAGTGTTGAGGAAATCTAAAGTATGAGCAGATTATAATGATTAAAAGTTTGGCAATAGGAGATAGAGCAAACGCAAACACAACAGAAATTAATGTAAGGACTTTTGGGGGCCATGGCAATTAAAAGATTAGGAAAAAATGACAGTGTGTATAAACAGGTGGGGTCTTTCTATTGGGCACATATTCCGTTAGAATTGTCGTGCCTCTCCTATGTTTACTTTCAGATCTTTCGTTTCTGCTCACTCGTCTGGCCTTCTTTTGAAACCATGGACTAGTGGAGAGTTGTGTCGGCGGGCAATGAATTCCAATGATATAAAACCTTCAGGGAAATGAAGTTAGCCCGGAGATTTGTGTTCCACTTGATGAATACTTTGAAATATTACCATGAGGGCACTTTTTGGTCTTTGGAGTACCTCTTGTATAATTTCGTATCAAGGTGCGGTATTAAGGATAATAATATATTCTCATTTTTTACATGAGGGACGCCAGTTTACAGGCATCATCAATATGATAAAATACATATACGATTAGTAAGCATATTCGTATATGTAATTTATCATATTGATGATGCCTGTAAACTGGCGTCCCTCATGTAAAAAATGAGAATATATTATTGTTATCCCTAATACTGCACCTTGATACGAAATTATACAAGAGGTACTCTAAAGACAAAAAGTGCCCTCATGGTAATATTTCAAAGTATTCATCAAGTGGAACACAAATTTCCGAACACTTGACAAAATGGTTAGAAGGTTCCTGAACCATTTGCAGGCAAGGTGAGGCTGTGCGATATAAAAGATGAATGAGAATCAAGCATATAAGGAAGAAGTTAGGATACTATACGTAAATGCATGGTAGCTATTTTCTGAAAGAAATAGTCTATTCATGAAGGTAAAGACAAGGGTTGGATAGGCTTACTTGGAGTCTGGGACGTGTTGACTTGGATGTCTGAATCTTTTAATTTTAAGCTGTTCCCGGTTGCCTACAGAGGTCTAATTAGATCGTGTGTAAGATCTCGAGGGATTTTTCAGTAGCAGTTGACTGTCATATGTTCAACAGATACTCTGCTATCGAATTAAAGACACACTTTCTTGCCCATTTTGCCTTTCAGGCTAGTTAGTGTTCATGAAAGTCCTTTACAAGGAGTAGGCCAAGTGTACTTAGGCTCAAAGAAGCAAGTTAACTGATATACGCTTGCTGATATGGTCCGACAAAACAGTTTGTTTCCCCAAATGTTGCCCGGATTTATATTTAACAGCTTGTAACACAGTACATTTTGCCCAGAGATTTCGGAATTCATTTTCGAATAATTTTTGCCCAAATGGCAAGACTTTCTGAGATATTGTAGCCGTAGGTAACTCTCTAGAATATACCCCACAGCATTCATCACTCAACATTGTATGCTGACCCTTACTGTTTAAGTCTTTTTGATTAACTGAATGCTTCCGGTCAAGCATCCACGCCATTTAGTACACCGTCGTGTCACATTAGTCCCTTCGTGCAAGATCCCTAGCTAGTTAAGCAAACATCTCGCACACCAATTTGGTCCCGAAATATAGCTCGTAATTTGGATGGGCAACTCTGGTATCTTGCTTTGCACTCGGTTTATGCGGAGCGAGTACTTTAGAAGTTGTGGGTATCAGATCTTCCTTTAGTATACTTCGTACTATTGGTGAACGTCAATACTTTCAACCCCTAAAGTATTACCTATGGCTGTTCAGCTGCGATTTTCGCGTTAATAATCTTGTCTGGCAATATGGGAAATAAATCATTCTTCCGTGCATTCATAGGACTTCGCAAAATAAGACCTTCAAAGCCTCACTTTGAAAAACGAGTTAGTGTCTCATTTCCAACTCTTTTAAGGGTTTTCCGATAGCGAAAGTCCGAAGTATGATGATCCCCAGACCTCTGTGGGTTAAAGTGAGGGCGCGGAAGCATCGAATCGAGTTGATTTCTTACTAGGCTAATGTCTTCAGTTCGTTGAACAAATGGGCTAAGCTGGGTCGTATGGTTGATTCCGAAAACTCGCGTGTAGCTGCTATTGCGAAGCCGCGGCTCACTTTCTATGCTAACATCAGTGAGGTTAATTCCACATACTTCACGGTGTATTGGGCAGACCAACTAGGCCGTGGTGTATTCTGGAGCGTAAAAGGAGATATTTGTGCATATACTCGCTTCATGATACCCTCCAGTTCATCGACTACATACAATATATGAATGTAAACGACACAAGGATTCTATCTTTCGACACTGAATCACTTTCCACCAGTGTCCAACTTACAGAAACTGATTATTTTACACGTGTAAATACACAGATGTATCCAGTTCAACATTGTAATACCGACAGTATATCCGAAAGAACTGCTAATGAGTTGTACTATCAATGTACAATTTACTTTCAGTGACACCATCTACAGACTAAAGGAATGTATTGCAATGGGGTCTCCCATGGATGCATTACTGAAAGACTGCTTCATGGCTAGCTTTAAGAATGTCTCACTCAGTTCGTCCTCTGACAATCCGTATTTATCTAAACTATACGTAGATGGCATTTTCGTAGTCTGTGACAACAGTTACTACCAGAATCACTTGCTACAAATATCCAACAACTACCATCCGCCAATAAAACTCACTCTGAAAGTGGCATGTGAATCCGAGATTCCCTTTCGTGATGTAAAACTAACAAGAATACCTAATGGAATCTTAAGAAACTAAATCCATAGAAAACCCACTTGGAACGGTTAACTAACAAGCTTATGTAGTTTGGTACCTGCTGAGAGGAAACGAAACCTGATTAAATCACTCTTCACCCGTGTCAAACTCATCTGCTGTCGTGATGCCCTTGAAGCAAAACCGGATCTTCATCCCCAACGGGTAATCGCCAAGACTCATTGACAAGAATGCCAAACCAAAGTCCAGAGGAATGAAACATCACTTGCTTCGAAAAATACACCCTACATGATTCTGCATTTCAAGGGGGGCTTAGCCAGAAACATTCTTAAAAGAATTTCACCATCTTTGAGAAGAAAATGTTTTACAGCAACGCTAAGAGTAGTTTTGACATGCAGAAGCCTCAAAGACAAGATCTCTCGTCTTACCACTCGTATGTACATTTACCAGTTCACCTGTTGCTGTGGAGCCAGGCATATCGGTTGTTCGACGCGTATCTTGTCCAAAAGAATTCGCGAACACAAACGGCAACAAAAGGGTAATAGTGGCTGTATGGGGAGTGCGGTAATCGAACATTTTTT